ACAACAACAACAACAAGATCTTAATATGAATGATACCTTGAAATTTGATTTTTTGTCCACAAATATTTAAGCATATTTTTGATGGTTTCAATATTTTGATTAATAAATATCAATTCACTATAGCCATAACTAGGCATATATTGGAATGTTTGTGTGGACTTGAAAACTCAGCTTTGGTTGATAAATGTATAAATGTTTAAAATAAAATTCTTCATATAACACAAAGGCTAAAAATTGCAATTTATCAGTGTAATATTGTGTCCTCTTTGTGTACATAATGTCTGTTGTATAATATTCTTATTCAGTTTGGAGATGTGAATTTTCATTACCAGTACATAGTAATGTATTCTGGAGGGAATGAAATGAATGTATAACAGTAACTCTGACACTACATTTTATGATAAGACGAAAAAATATTTTGTTTTATTGCATTAGATTTTAATGGCTTCATAAAATCTTGATGATGATATTTATGTAATATGGAAACAGTGTATGAGGTATCAATTTTAATATAGGAGTGACAAGCAAACAGAAATTGATGAGGTTTGTAAATCACATTTACACATTTATTTCCCTTTATAGTACTGGTTATTCCTACATCATTAGTGGTATACATTTCATTCCTACATCATTAGTGGTATACATATGGTATCCTTTTTCTTTTTCTAAGTTATTGCTGATGCAGATTTTTGCAGTTATTTTAAGTCGCCTGAAAGCAATATAGTTTATATAAACACAATATCCTAATTTGTATTATTATTATTAATCTCCGTATAGTGAGATTGCAATTCACAAGTCTGAAGTTTGTGTACATTTAGATTTCTGTATTCTTCTTAAATTTGCAATAAAGAGGTTGTTTCTAATTGATGTTTTTTGTTCTTTATATTTTTTTAAACATATGTTGAGAATGTCTGAGCATCATCTAGGAAATTTGGTAAATTGAATAAATAAATGACATATAAATTACTTTGGATGTTTCAAGGTGTTTATTGTTTGCCATATAGCATATGGTCATTCCAGTTTGCAAAATAATAATGTTCATCATGCCATTAAATGTCTTATTTTTTTTCTCTCCCAAAAATTGTGTGAGACAAAGCATCTTTGCATCAAAGTCATTTCTGTTGTTTATTCAAAGCAACCATAAGATTGGTCTGCTACAAATAGTAATGCATGTAGGAACTTACATGTAACCCAAAACTTGGCAAAATATTGTGACATTAAGGTCTTTAAAAGGTTTATAAAAACGACTATTTGATTTTTCATATTTGAAATTAGAAACTGACCTAGATTACTTATTTAAAAAGACAAAATTATTACCAATCAGAATGAAGAAAAGTAGCATTGATTGTATATGACAATAAACAGGTTTTTGGTCTGCATTATAAATTCATTATGAACTCTTCAGTGGCTTAAGTACTTTAAGTATCTGCCTCAGATACAGGAGATTGTGGGTTCGAACTCCATTCAAGTCATACTAAGAATTTATTTTAAAAAAGGTACTAGCAGTTGCCTCCCCTAGTGCTCAACATTAAAAGGTACTAGTAGTTGCCTCCATTAGTGCTCAACATTAAAAGGTTAGTGTTGGGACTGGTTGGTCCAATGTCAGGCTAATCTTACAGGGTGGGACATCATGCTACCTGTTTAGTGCATGATTCCTCAGTGCTAGACATCACTCTAAACTGCCACACTGCAAACATCATTGAAGTTTGTTTCTTTTCTATGTTTTAAATTAAATAGTCTTTTTGTTCATTTTATCTGTAATAACATGTTTGTCTCAAAATGCAGTTATAATTGTTTTGGTTTTTCCTCTTCTTGAATGTATTTTATCTGAAATCATTTACTTTTATTTAATTACTCATGCATTTCAGTAATTATCACCAGAAACATAAGCTCCTTAAATGACATTAGCCAATGTCTCTAACCATGTCTAATTGATCCTCAGGATCTGTCATAATAAATTTTTCATGTACCAGTATCTGTTTGGATAGAGATTAACAATGTGGTCAAAAGTAGTATTTGTTTTCAGTTTTTATTGGATAATCTTTGCCTTTGAGGTCATATTGGTCGTCCTTAAAGACATGTTAAATTTTTACACATCAAGTATTTTATCCAAAAGAAAATTTCTATGCCATTTTTATGTGTCTTCATGATTTGATGAACATTTACGTGATATTCCCGACCTCACATTTTGTTAAAAATCTCAAATTTCGCATGTTTTTTAATGTGTATTTATTGTCCATCCCTATGAACATGTATCTTGACATGATCCTTTTAGATGTAGCCGGAATGAACTCAAGCTTTTAGAAGTACCTTGAATCAACTATGTACTTTTTAAAATGTTATCTCTTAGTTTCTTCTCAGATTTCCCGTATTTCCCATTAGGAAACAGTTTATGCTGCAGTCGCATTACAACGTTCTTAATGTGTACCCTTTAGATGTTTACAAGTTTTTTGAGGCACTCACCCTTACAGACGGTACTAGATTTACAACAGGGCCCCTGTTGGCCAGGGGTTCCATCTTCGTGGCCCCTCTCCCTCCCAAAATACGATGAATTTGTCAAAAGTCTGTGGCTATTTTATCTACTAAATCTACTATGCGTATCTGTGGAGGCCTACCGGGCCTACCTCCTTCAGGGTCCAAGTAAGGGGCTTCATAACTTAAGTAGCACAGGGCCTCATTTGTCCTAAATCCGGAACTGCTTACAGATCTCTCGTACATCTCAACCCAGTCCGCTTGAGTTAGAGTCTCAGGGCCTGCCAATGTGAGAAAGCTAGCCTGTAGCTTCCCTTGGGTCGTCGGTTCTTCCAAAGCATATTCTGTGTTCTTCCACCAGGTATACTAGCCGCCAGGTACCATGTTGAAAATGGTATTAAACCCACTACAACAACTATTTGCATGTGGTACTTTGGGATGTACTTTTTTCCCCTTCTGGTATTTCAGATATCAATTCTATTTTACCTCCTTCGTTCTCAAAGAGAGCTATTTTAGACATCATTATCATATTTTATTATAGAAAACGAAACAGTCCACAGTCACCGCATGTGTAAACAAAATATATTTAAAATAAACTTATTCATCGCGCCAACTATGGTCTTTATGTGTCTGCACATGTATATTTATATTAAAGCTTGAATTCATATATATATATATATATATATATATATATATATATATATATATATATATATATATATATATATATATATACACGCATACACGCACACACAAATGACAAAAATAAATACATTAATTTCTTACTGTAACGTATATATGTATACCGCACAACGTAAAGTGCTAATACTGTTGGAGAACCTCGATGTCCTATCACCCACGATTTTCCTACTTGTGAGGGAAGCGAATGACAAACCCTGTTTCATTCATAATTCCAACTCGCTGCAATAAACATCAACTGCATTTAAAAAATGCACATATTTTCAGCCAACATAATTCGCTGATTAAACTAACGTTTAGTTTAAATAAAACGGGTTTTATTGTCCTATATTAGACAGATTATGATTTATTATGTACAACTCATTGACGTCTTTTCCTGTAGGTACAGTAGCAATGAGATATGTACAACTCACTAACATTCTTTTCTGGAGGTACAGTAGCAATGAAAAATGCAAACTCACTGACATCCTTTCCTGGAGGTACAGTAGCAATGAGATATGTACACTTCATTGACATTCTTTCCTGGATGTACAGTAGTAGACAGATATGAAGAATTAAATTAAAACATTTGAAATGCGATAAACAACAGAAAAATTAGATGTACAAGAGGAAGAAAAAAAGATGATAAATTGTTTTAACAGAGATTGTAAATTAAAAGTGATAGATTAAAGTTGAAAGAACTATGGATTAATTATAAAACGTTGAAAATTCACACATGCAATATATCACGTAATTAAAATACGTCGAAAAAAAACCTACAGTATTGGATCATTCGTTCAAGTTAAAAGGTTATTTACCCAATGTTACATATATGTAATTTAATTGCGTCTCATTTTTAAATATTTTTTTAAAATTTTTTATTTTTATTTCATTACAAGTTACCGTAATGATAACTGTATTCACTGGTTTTGACGTTTTTCCTGAAAATTCAGTTCAGTTCGTTTTGACCTAATAAATAGAGTAGTTTGAAAATTCGTATCTTTTGCTGACCTAGATTCTGAGCCATTTTCAGCTCTGTAGTAAATACCTATTTTAATTGTTTTTTTATTTTTTTTAAATTGAATCTTTTAGTAAGATTTGTTAAGTAAAATCGAATCCATCTATGGCGGACATGATAGCCGGCGTGTGGTTATACTACGTCGCCTGAATTAAGTGATCACGTGATCTAACTTGCGCTTTAGTTAGGGTTAAAATGGATATTTTATTTTGATTTTTTAGTCGTGATTCATACCTTCGGGCTCAAAGGCATTTATGTTGTTGCCAGTTTGAATTGAATTTTTTATTTAAAATCATTTATTTACCTTGGAAAATACTTGTGCTCATCAGAGTTCCTTGACAAAGACATTTACTAAATTATTCGGAATGCTAAAGCTGGAATATTGTTACTGGTCATTCAACAAAGAACTGTTGACACGACAACACAAAACAGGTCACAGAGGACGTCATCGCCTTCCATCTTAGAACATCATCAGGATTCGAACTTTCATTCACTTATAACGTTTTTGTCATAGGGCTTCTAGTTTTAATTATTTGATTAATGTATGGATTTGGTTCATAAACCTTAAGTCCTTTTTCATATTTTTACCTTGTTTTTCTAGGGAAATAAATTATTTTGTTAAATTTACAAAGCTTGTTCACTTCACACTTTCCTTTATTACCTTTGTACGTGCATAGACACGTTAGACCGATTGTTTTCTCATTTTACATTATTAAAATATAATTATAAAATGCAACAATTCGATAAAATGTTTTATATCAGTCTGATATGTAAATAAGATAAATTACATCTGTTTCAGAGATTAAAAAAAATAGAAACTCTATTATGCCCACGTATGACCGCCCCGGTGGCCTGGTGGTTAGAGCGTCCGCCTCGAATGCGGGAGATCGCAGGTTTGAACCCCGGCCGAATTATACGAAAGAGTTTAAAAAATGGTACTAACAGCTGCTTCGCTCGGCGCTCAGCATTATGAGGTTAGGGTTAGGACTGTTCGGCCTGGTGTCATGATAATGTGACTGGAAAGAACATCATGCTCCATGTTTGCGACATGATGCCCCAGTGCTTGACATTGCTATAAACTGTCACAATGCAGAGTATCGACATGACTAAAAAATTGTTAAATCTACGTTACACTGTCTAAATCACATCACAACACACACACACACACACACACACACACACACACATGACCACGTATAAGAATCTTGTGCTACAGTGAATTATAAGACACGAGTAAAATGAGTGTCGTCTTCAAATAGACCAGTTGGTAAAATAAATCGTTGTCATGGTATAGCAATGAATGGCTGTTAATCCAGATGGTAATTCCTTACTTTGTCTCCAAAACCGTGAGTTTAGCACGATAAAAGACTCGTGATTTGGATTTTTAACGTAGCTTTAACCATTTTCCAGTCATATCATAACGAACGGTGTAGCAGTTTATTGCGATGTCTTGCACTAGGGCATCATGCCGCAGACATGTAGCACAGATCAGTCCTACCACTAACCTGATAATGCTGAGCGCCAAGCGAAGCAGCTGTTAGCATCCATTTTTATAAGTCTTTGGTATGACTCAGCCGGTGATCGAATCCACGACCTCGCGTATATGAGTCTGACGCTCTAACCGCTAGGCAACTGGAGCGGTCTTACAAATATGAACATTATTGCTAGTAACAGAATTAAAGAGAGACAACAATACTATCAATTCATATGGTTTAAAATATTGCACTTTCTAAAGTAGTTTAGTGTCAAATTGAAGCAATTAATAAAATAGTTGCCATTTTACTTGTGATCGGATCTTATCTTCTCGTCATATCCAAATGACTTGAGAACATTTATATGGCAGAGACAATTAAATACGGTGCATCAGTATCGAGACAATTTTACATTCAAGCAATAGTACATTATTTAATATTTCTGTTAAATAGTATAAACAAAAATATCTATATTGAACACTTTCTAGGTCTATTGATTTCTTTTTTATGACAACGGAACAAATAGAAAGTGAATACAATGTAGCAACACAATTCTCGTATCTCTGGGTTGCTTGACATTTATGCATTCAGTTTCCTTTTATGTTCATACGGAACTGATGAGCTGCTCAATGCCGCAAATGAAAAAGTGATTTTGCAATGCCGGTACAATTCGTGTCTTAGAAATTGGTTCTAGGTTCCAATTCGATCAGCCTTAGAGGTTAATTAAGATCAATTCATAACGTGTAGTCATATTTCTCAAAGATCGAATGAGTACTCTAGACCTGCTATTGATTTTATCAAACAGGTGAATATATATCGTAGCACCATTCGACTTGCAAGATTGTTTGAATCCGATTCCCACCGTGAGAGACTAATTTAGCATATTATTACGAGTCGATGCTCTTCAAATAATTTATAGAAAAGAGTAAAGACAGCAAAGCTTTGTAAAATTTAACCAATAATTTATTTCCCTGGAAAACCAAGGTAAAATGAGAAATTAGAACTTTCGGTTTTGCGAATTAAATTTAAAAAAATATACAAGATTAAAAAACACGTCCTAGTAATAAATAGTCCTGAATAAAACTCATTTCAATTGAAAACGATGACGTGTCTGATATGGCCTGCATCGTACTGATGTACTGATCTGACAATGGTCACTTGTTGAATCACATAAATATTATTCCAGGTTTGAATTCAGTTTAAATTCTCATGAATGTCTTTATTCAAGAAACTCGTGAGAGCACTTTTGTATTTCCAGAGAAAATAATCATTTGAATTCAATAGTTTATAGAAAATAAAATTCGGCTCAAACTAGTCACAACATAATGCAACTTAAAGAGTTAGGTATTAAAGAAAAACTGGTAAAATTCTGACATTAACAAATAAGCATTTTATAAAAAGAATCGTTACCTACTGGGAAAAAAAAACTTTCTATCATAACTTAATGAGGGTTGTTGATTTTAAACATAATACCCTATAAAATTCACTTTGGAATCCCCCAAACCCTGACCAAAATCAACATGTTTACTTGATTAATAAATTGGTCAATGAACTCATACCCATACAGGCTAGTGAAGCTATTAGTAGTGTAGTGGGGTAGCATAGCTTCAATGGGAGTTATCATTAAAAATTACTCCTCGGCACTATAAACTAAAGATTTATAGTAACAAGAGTAATGGCACAGGTGGCATGACGTCACGGTACTGGAGACTGGCAACACTGTAGCATGGAGCTGACCTAAATACATACATAGCTACTATTCTAGGGAGGGACATAAAAACATACAATAGAGACGTAGAACACAAAGATAAATACATAGATAACACGTACCTGGCAAAATTTTAAAATTTTAAAAATCTTTTCGAGGCATTGGAAGTGGCCCTGAAAAGGACCTATAGGTTCTTTTTCTTTTATCGTCTCCACTTTTGAACCAGCTCCTGACTTTTTGAATGATTCCTTTATTTGTTTTTTTTTTCTTCATCTGCTATCCAGTCTGGATGTTCCATGTCTCCAAATTTTTGCTGTATTTTTTTTATCTAGTTTCTCTTTTGTTTCTCAAAGTATTCTGTCCTTTTTTGTTTTGTTTTCTTTGTCATTTCTTCTTTCTTTTGTCCTTGTGTCTTTAATCTTCTTGACCTCTTCTTCCATTATCTTTTTCATCAGGTCTTTAAATTTTCTAAACCTTTTTTTAACAAAAGGCCACATGGTTAAATCTGAGATTCCTTCCTAAAATATCCCACTTCTTTAACAATATCAAAAACCTCCTTCAGTGTTCCTATTCTTACATATTTCGAATAGGCAAAGCCTCGCAACTAATCTGTTTCATTCCATATTATCATTTCCAAATTATAGCTGGCTACATTGAGTCTGTTTACTAAGTCTAGGCTGCCTGTGAACCTCCATTCTTTTTCAAGCCTACTCAGCACGTATGCTTCGTCCATTATCCAATGCCAACTGTCTCTAAACTGATTTAAAAGATTCATATTGTATTCTATGTTGATCGGCGTAAATGACTTAACTAGGATTATAGTCGCGTATTGCTCCAGTTTGGCATTCTGCGACTGTTTACTGCCCAAGGCAGGGCGACAATCCTTTTAAGAGGACGCTTGGCCCCAAGCTGGGCCTTCGGCGCAAATGACGAACGCTGTTTTATATACGTCAAGCACGGACATGAAGGAAAATATCACTTACACTCATTTCACGTAGGATATCCTATCCTCACCAACGAAATGAGCAAGCATAAAACACACCGATATAATATCCACACCAACGAAACGAGCAAGCATAAAACACACCAATACACTATCAACACAACGAAATGAGCAAACATTAAACACATCAATATATTATCCTCAACAACGAAACGAGCAATCATAAAACACGCTTATACAATTCACACCAACGAACATATTGAATAGTCTCTCTTTTCTAGAGATATGGTTAGCCCTGAGAAGGGCTGTTTTTTTTTTTTTGGTTTTTTTTTTGTTTTTTAAATTATATACATCTGTCTCAAGCTGGCATCTTTCAGGGAGGGCACCACACGATCGCCGACTCCAGTCTTGCTTCCAATTTATGCGTGTGATTGGAAGTGCAGAGGGAGCTTGAGTGGCTTTACTCTCTCAGTCTTCAGTCTCGGGGATAACGAAGGCTTTCATCCTATACCACAACCGTGGATGAATAAGTTGTTGTGCTGGTAGTGGTTGTGGTTGAGGTGTTAGTACTGGTTATGGTTGAGGAGGAGGAGGTGTTCTTATCTCTGGTGAGGCATGATTACTTGTTTCCTTTCTTCCTCCTCTTCTTTCTTTTTCTCCTCTTTATCTTCTTTAATCCGTCTTCTTCTTTAGTAGTCATCATAGACAGCTCATCCAGGAGTTTTCTCGCATACTCCAGGTGCATTTTAAGTTACATCAATTCGGTGAATCTGCTCATATTTTTTACGAGTGAACGACGGCCTGACGTGCGCTTGCCTTTATATCCTTGGAGCACGGATGTGAAGGAAAACATCCCCATTCATCCAAAAACTAACCATTCCACGAAACGCACTTACAAACAAAATCTGACACGTTTTGGATAAGACGAGGTTTTTATAGGCACACTTCTTTTTTAAATTTTAAAAGTTATGGCACATTGAATGAGTTTGTCTTTTCTAGAATATTGCGTCCCCATCTGGTAGCAGGCTTTCCTATATGATATGGTCCACTTCTGCGTAAAGAGAAAGAAAATTCTTTGATGTCTATTCGAAAGTACACAAAACCTCAGTCTGGTTCTTGCTGTTGCTGCTGTTGTTCTTCTTCTCTCTGCTTTTTCTGAAGTCTGTATTTCTCAGTCGATTCTTCTTGTTATTTCTTAATTTCCTCTCTAAAGACCTATTTTATGAGGTCTTGGGCTATGGAGAGCATCCTGACATTCTATATTTCTTCAGGTTTTGATATCAGGTTTAGCCTGACACGATGTAATCGAACGTAAGCTTCGTTCAGTTTAGCTAGTCTGGTAGGCATCTTCATAGGCTGACGAGTCAGCAGTGAATGGTCAGACTGTTAATTCATTTTGTTCATATGTATTATAGTCGTGTATACACTTTCGTGTTTTATGACTTTAAGCCCTGAAAAAGGGCTAGTGGCCTCTCCCCCTTCCGGGGCTGGGCTCACCAGTGTCCAGTGCTGACACTTTTGCCCCGGCGCGTGGGCCTATTAACCCCCCTGGTGGCTCACCACCTTAGCCGGATGTTATCTTTCGATAACGTTGCTATCCAGGGAGGCGCTTAGCCCTAGGGCTGGGCTTTTGGTCGTGGTGCTGACCTTTATTGGCTGACCTTAAGACCCTTTGGTTGGCTGCGTATTGTAGCAGAGCGTACCGGCCTTCCGCCTCAACTCCCCCTACTAAAGTCCCCCCAATATCTAAGTTCACCTAACTTTATCTCAGGTGGATTATTGTCAAATTTAACCAG